CTCTTCAACTTCCGACGGATATTTTTCGCGTATTACTTCCAAATGCTGTTGGATTGTTGCTCCTAACAAGAATGGTGATTTCACAAGACCAAAGAGCGCGCGAGTGAATCGCAGGACTTCAATTATCAACGTCTCTTTGTCCTTAATCCAGTGAAACCTGAGCGAATCTCTATCCTCAGGTCGAATTCTTACTTGTAGGAATGCTTGTTTGATATCTGCAGACAAGGCTACAGGTTTCAGGCGATTTCTGACAAGTACATCCCACAACAAGTTCTGGAGGGGAGGACCTGTCTCCAAGCAATCGTTCAACGATGGACTGCTCTCCGAGGCCTTAGCAGATGCGTCGTAGACAATCCGTATCTTAGTAGATTCCGCCGCCTTCCTGATGACAGGTTTGTGTGGAATGTAATACGCATTCTTCACGGGATCATCGGTTACTTTCTCAACAATCCCTTCCTTCAACTGATCTTGGATGATTTTGTGGTACTGGTCAAGCATTTCTGGATCGCGTTGCAATTTCTTCAGTAAATTATTCAACCGTCCCAAACTGTTGGATTCGTTGGTTGGTAAAGGCTCGTCATGTCTAGGTTTCCATAGTAACCCGGTTTCATACCAGCCATCCTCGCTGCGTCGTAGTTGTTGCTTGAAGTCTTGGTACACCGATTGTTGGCTTTCGTTGGGTTGATCTTGGAGGCCAAGTACATCCAGGCTGCATAGCTGTTCGTAATTTGCTGCTGAAGATTTGGTGAAGTACACACTGCTGAGATCTGCTTTTTCGCCAGCTGCCATAATAGTCCAACCAAGTGTCGTGAATTCTCCAACAGGCTCTCCGGGCTGTCCGAGCTTGGGTTGTGTGTTGGTCTTTATTCTCGAGTAATCACTAGCTCCCAATATCATAGAAATAGGTAATTCTGGTTTAGTGTCATTATCGTCCATTGACACTTCTTTCAAATGCTCATACTGACTGATGATTTTACTGTAATGTGGGTTTGGTACAGACAACAGTACCCCCTTGTCAACTTTGCTTGCTTGAATATTCATTTCGAAAGTTCCTTGAACATTGGAGACCTTCACATTGTAACTCTCTATCTTCTGACTGGTAGAACATAACATCATATCAATTCTCTTGTACTCGGTTTTGTTGGGTTTCTTGCGAAGGAGCTTAACCAAACCAGCTGAGATGTAAGAGCTCCCAGCCCCCGTATCCAGCAACGCTCTACATTTTACACCATCGACTATTGCAACTACCACCGGATAGGTGACTCTGCCATTGGCAGCTGCGAGCATCATTTGTTGTTGTTGTACATCACATATTGATGTGTGGTGTTTAGCCTTGCACTTCAGACAGGTAGCTAAACTTCGACATTCTGAAGCCCGGTGCTTCAGACCTGTACAATTGAAGCAACGTTTTTTCGCTGCTAGTTCTTTCTTCCTAGAAGCCACATCTACTATCTTATCACAAACTACAGATTTATGTTGGTCTGAATTGCAGTATACACAGGGCTTTGGCTTCCATTGTTGTTGGTTGACTTGGAAGAATCTACCAGATTTAACTTTTGAGCCCCCAGTGTCACTTCCTCCATGATCAGGCTTCTCTTCGATTACGATTGGATTTCTTTCACACCATTTTCTCAGGGCCTCTACCAGTTGAGTGAAACCCCAATCCTGCCACTCATCATCCAATCTTACTAAGTCGGCTCGAATCCCAGGGAGTTTGTCAAGGGTTGGTCTGACAAACCCATGTACTTGACTGAGTTTACACATAGTTTCAAGGGCTTGGGTGTTGGTGACTAACGACTCAAAAAACTCATGTATCTTCTTGGGTTGTGTCCCTTTAACGACAGGTAATGATACAATACTTTGCATGTGGGCATTAGCTACCTCACTTGTTTTCCCATACTTTGTTTTGAGGATGGTCTTAGCTCGTTCGTACCCCTCTATGGTAAAGGGAAGCCCATCAATGTATGTACGTTCTTTTGGAACAAGGAGTTCTTTTAGATATGATAGTTTTGCAATTTGGCTTATCTCGGCCTTGTCTCTCTCAGTCTCAAACTGGCCCCAGAATCTTTGCCAGTCTAGGTGTGTGCCTTGGAATTTAGTAATTACTAGTTTAGGAAGTTTAGCATTGTTACCTTTTGTAGCAGATTTCATGCGTGCTTCCTCCATTTTTTTCTCATACTCCTGCTTCATTTCTAATTTGGTCTCTTCAAATTTAAGCTCTTCTTCGAAATGTAACCTTCGTTTCTCCTTTTCGATTTCCTCTTCCTCGTTTTTGACTTTAGTATGTTCTCTCGTAATAGTCTCTTTTATCTCGTCGACTACCTCTTCGAAACCTGAAACTTTGCTCTCGATATCAAGACTCCATTCTCTCACTTCCTCTGCTGTATCTCCCTTCTCAATTCGGATTTGTTGAACTTCGATTTTAAGCTTATGAGCGTGTTCGATTAATTTTTCGAAAACCCTTGTATGACGTTCCATTGCTTTTACCTTATGATCTTTCAGTACTCTTGGTGTATCCTCTTGTGTAAATTTTAGCATACGAAGTTTCCCATCGATTTGTTTTAGTAGCTCTTCTACTTTGTTGGTAGTTGACATTTTCAAGATGGCGGCGATATCTCACGAATTTTCGATGTTTTTATTGATTACTCACACTGTTATTTCTCGCTCTCTCGTTGTGATTTTCGGCTAAAATCCTGCTTGGGGTCGCCACTTTGTCGGAAACTTATATTTCTACTCGACAAACTGTTTATTTTAAACTTAAATTCATTGAAACTCTCACATTTGATTTACAAAATCTCTCTCTGTTTTGTTTTCTCTCATACCGAGCCCCCGATTCTAGCGCCCGCGGGCTCTTTTGTTTGCAATACTTTATATAAGTCTCAATAACTATCTGTAAAGTCAATAATGTCTAAAATTATCTACATTTCCCAAATTTCGAATGTTTCGTATTTTTCTGAACATAAACTATACTTCATATTCATTTAGAAGCATAGCGAACCAAAATGGTGTTAGATATTTAGACAGAACATCATTTAAAAAAAAAAATACAGCAGTTCAAAATGTAAACAAACCGTTTGTTTACATACGGACTTGACTTCCACTTTAATTTAATTATCATTCATTCAGCATTTTAGTGCAGCTACTGTGTATTACTGCAAAGGGTCACCGACAGCTATTAAATACTCAAATAGATCACGTGCTTCCACATGATCACTTGAATAAGGTAAAGCTTCATTGTCCATTACATAATGAAAGTATTCTTGGAATATATTCATCTCATCATCAATAACCTGAATTTGTGCATGGTTTTCCATTGCTGCTGTTTGCTCATTTGTAACAGCAACTTTGCATTCTACAGCACCTGAACGCTGAGGCAGAAAAAACGATATATCAGGCACACCTGGAACTGTACCAATTTTTGAACGTCGTATTCTGTGTGTGTTCCAGTGATTATTGACCTTATCTAGGTCATTTTGTAAAAGCGACGCAAAACAAAACCAAAGACATTCAAGGTGAAATTCACTGGCAATATCAAGCACCTCAGTTGCTGCCATTTCTTTAAAAAAATCAATCCACCACGAAGATCTTCCTCTCCGATAATAGGACCACCAAGCTTCAATACGTTGATTACTTGGAGATGTTCCATATTTGTGGGAGTTAGACCCAGCAAATTCATCATTTCCATGCTGACGAAAATAGGCTTGGATTGCAGCCATTATCCCGTTTTCTGTTCCACAATCAGTTCGAAGTAGCATAGGACAGCCTGAATGTTCTCTCACACACTCCAAAAAAAATTTTGCTGGCACTTCTGGCTTGTTGTTGGACCTTGAAAGCTCTAACCACAATATTTTCCTCCTATAGCCATCAATAGCTCCATGTATGGGAAAGCCATAAGGCTTCAGCTTATCATAACCTATATGAAAAAGCACTACATATATATAAACCTGCATGTTTCGATTGCATCATCTTTTAAATCATGCACTAGACTTCAACTCTCAAGTCAACCACTTTGGAGAGAGCGAGTTAATAACGGGGGAGGCAGCCAGGACACGATGAGCGACAAACCATGCACATACTTAAGAGAAATCATTATATTCAAATGTAATATCTAAATACTGCATTATTATAGAATGCATTGATTGTACTGAACATTCCAATTTTCCTGTTCAGGAGCTAGTGTTGTAAGTTTCATTTTCCGAGAATTACATGGAGAGTACGTTTGTTTGATTTAATACATGGACAAGTTCAGCCAGGACTGACTACCACCCAGAAATTGAACAAGGTCTTTCCGATAAATCGCTGACTGTTCCGACTCCATTTTGATTTCAACGCATACTAGCTCAAACCGGACTGAAAGTGCATGAGCTGAAAACTTTCCTTGTAATTAGCCTCTTACACGTACAATTGTAACGTCAGAAACGATTCATGAACCATGCGAGCCAACAGCATTGAACATTACATATTTTTACTTCCGTTTACTTTTCCCATATACGAAACATTTCGCCCGTGATGCGTACAAATTAGTTTCAAATACAATTTCAATCTTAAAGTAATATATATTAATACCATCAGCGTGCCAGCAGAAATTAGGGCCAAAGCTAATGTATCTTCTCCTTTGAAGCCTCCGACTTCTTCTTTGCAGTGTTCCTTCAGGGTCGAGCTCTTGCAAAATTCTTGCAACATCTTTCCTTGGAACATGAATATTATGGCACAGTCTCAGGGAATGCCAAACTGCTCTGTAACCTCGGAGTTGGCCAGGTCCAGATGTTTCACTTTGAATCAGTTGTCGTAAACGATTTTCATCAATGTTTAACCCCCTTCTATTCAAACCGTAATCCTGAAGTCTCCTCTTTAAAGTGCTAAGTCTTATTTGAATGCCATGCTGACATCTCAATAAATCAACAATTATTTTGTTTTCATAACCACGATGAAAGTATTGCTCAATCAACTCTTTCTCGTCTGCCATTTTGAATGGTAAGTGAATGAAAGATTACTTCCGTCATAAAACTTTTACTTCCGTCATGAGACTTTTACTTTGAAATACACGGTTTTAAAAGATTTAACTGAAATCTCCGATTCCGGTTTCCACCAATTGTGGATACAAATCCAGCACAAGAAACTTAGATCGATATTGTTATGTGTTTGTTACAGACCTCCTGATTGTCCGGTTTCGTGCTTTACGAATAATTTTATGGCTGAATACACAAGGGCACTTATATATGGTAAGGATATTTTGGTTGTGGGAGACTTAAACTGCAATTTGTTAAAAACAACCCAAGAAGCGGAGGCATTGAGAGATATATTCTGGGGCCGGTTGTATAAAACTCTTAATTACTTTTTAATCACTATTTTGTAGTTAAATAGTGATTAACTCTCAAATACGCGCTTCTTATTGGATGACGTTTCCACTAACTATAGTTAACTTTAATCACTTTTTTATACAACCGGCCCCTGTAGTTTAAATCTCGTGCAATTAATCGATAAACCTACGCGGGTAACATTGCAATCATCCAGCCTGATAGATGTGATCATGACATCCAGTGAAAGTCTGATTGTGAAAAGTGGAGTAGTAGAAGTTAACATTAGTGATCATTTCTTGGTTAGTTGTGAACTTAATTTAAAAAAGCCAAAACTAAAACCAACATATATCAATGCACGAAGTTTTAAAGATTACGATCGAAATCAATTTGTCATGGATTTAGCACAAATTCCTTGGCACGAAAATTTTTCAATTGACGATGTGAATGAAAAACTCTCCTCATTTAATGGTCACTTTTTGAGTATCTTGGAAAAACATGCACCGGTTAAGAGCATGAAAATAAGATATCGCCGGTGTCCATTTATGAGTAGAGAGATTAAAGAACTTATGAAAAATAGAGATAAATTACATAAGCTTGCACGACGAACCAAGATGACAACAGATTGGGAAAATTACCGTGTTTGTAGACAGGCTGTAAAAAAGGCGTTACGTGAATCTGAAAGGAAGTATGTACAGAATGAAATTCATAAAAACTTAAACAGAAGTTCTATGTGGAAAGTTATAAGGAACTGCCTACCCCGTAAAGAGTCAACGGAACTTAATTATTCAAGAAATATCACGGAACTAGTGGAGGAGTTCAATTCCTTTTTCACGACAGTGGGAATTAAAGCATCAGAGTCTGCCACTGCACTTTTAACTAAATATAATCTACCAACCATAGACTTACCAGTACCTGCTCAAATTCCTGTGTCAGATCAATTTCATTTCCATCCGGTTTCATGTAGTGATGTACAGCAGATCACCATGTCTTTTTCCTCAAATAAGGCACCGGGATTAGATAAAGTCCCAATGAGTATTATCAAAGATGCCTTACCGTGTATCCTCCCTGCGTTAACAGATATTGTTAATTGTTCATTGCTTACGTCCGAATATCCAACATTATGGAAGATGGCAGAAGTTGTTCCCCTCTTAAAAGATGGGGATCATGAGATCGCAGACAATAATCGTCCTGTGTCTTTGCTAATTGCAGTATCAAAGATTTGTGAACGAGTTGTATTGAATCAATTGACTGACTATATGTCACAAAGGAAAAGATATACTGAACACCAAAGTGGCAATCGAAAATTACATTCTACAGAAACATTAAACATTTTTATAACAGATCAAATCTTGCAGTCTATGGATCGTAAAGAAGTTACGGCCTTAGTTTTAATAGACTTATCCAAAGCATTTGATAGCATAGATCATTCAATTCTACTAGTGAAACTTCAAACCATTGGTGTGTCTAATTCAGTGTTGGCATGGTTTAAAAGTTATCTATCGGGACGAAGCCAAATAGTACGTATTGGGTCGACATTGTCGGAAACATGTATTATAACTCGAGGGGTACCTCAAGGATCTATTCTTGGGCCGGCATTATTTAACATATATATTAATGACCTACCCAATGTTCCAAAAGAGTCCTCTTTGGAATCTTATGTGGATGATTCGAAAATCTATCTGGCATTTCCAATTCAGAATGTTGAAACTGCTGCGCTTAAACTTACACAAGATATGGAAAGAATTACCGCATGGTGCTGTATAAATAGTCTGCTAGTGAATCCAAAGAAAACGAAACTTCTATTACTGGGTACAAGTCAAATGCTGAAAAAACTCTCTGGCACAGATTTCCATATAACTGTTCTTGGTGAGAAAATAATCCCACTTCAGACGGTTAAAGATTTGGGAATGACTTTGGATTCAAGTTTGACTTACGACAAACATATTGTCGATACCGTCTCAAAATGTATCACTGAATTCTGCCAAATCAACAGAGTTAAGCATAGTTTCGACAAACACACTTTATCCCTTATTATAAATGCACTGGTCTTCAGTAAAATGTATTATTGTTCCTCCGTTTGGTCGAACACCTCTAAAAGGAATATATCAAAACTGCAAAGCGTGCAGAACTTCGCGGCACGCGTTATTACTGGAATCAGAAAATATGACCATGTGACGCCTATCCTTCAGCAATTAGCTTGGCTTCCAGTTGAGTGTATGTTAAAACTCAGGGATGCGGTTATGACATATAAGTGCTTGAAAGGGTTAGCTCCGCCGTACTTGTGTGACAAATTCCAAATGAGATCAAAGATTCACAGTGTTAACACCAGAAATAAGGATAAGTTAGACATTCCACTGTATAATTCGGCTTCTGGACAGCGAACGTTTCATTATCGCGCAGTGTCTATTTGGAATGAGCTCCCAAATCATATTAAAGACATTGACACTTTGGACCGGTTTAAAATAGAATATAAACGTCATTTATTGCATGGATTTTTAGAAAGTAGTTAGTAGTTTTAGACAATTTGGACTTGTTTAAATTAGCATATAAACGTTTTTACTGTATGGATTTTATTAGGAAGTAGTTAATCATTTTTAAAGTGACATTACTAATAATTATAAAATTTTTAATTTGTGTTTGTATGTATGTACGTATGTTTGTGGGTGTATATATATATTGTTTGTAGTATATAAATGATTTGTAAGTACCTGCTGAAAAGCCCTTTTGGGAGCAGGCAATATTGTAATAATAATAATAACTTCCGTTGTCAATATTTTTTGTTTGCGTTGTCAATATTTTTTGTTTGCGTTGTCAATATTTTTTGTTTGCGTTGTCAGTATTTTTTGTTTGCGTTGTCAGTATTTTTTTGTTTGCGTTGTCAGTATTTTTTGTTTGCGTTGTCAGTATTTTTTGTTTGCGTTGTCAGTACGTATTTTTTGTTTGCGTTGTCAGTATTTTTTGTTTACGTTGTCAGTATTTTTTGTTTGCGTTCAGATTTTTTTATTTGCGTTGTGACATTTTTTGTTTGCGTTCATATTTTTTTATTTGTGTTGCAAGGTTTTTTGTTGCGTGGTAATTTTTTTGTTTGCGTTGTAGCTTTCTTTTATTTGTGTTTTTATTATTCTTAATTGCCATTCCTTTATATTTAAGTCGTTGAGCCTTCTGGGCCACCGTAAGTTTTGCTGTATGGCTTATCATGACCTAATATGGTAATGCTGCACTGTTGTTATTCTAATTTTGTTATTTATAGCATATCAATATCAGAAATTGATTTCATATGAGAAGCTAGGAAAGCTTAATAAGTTTATTAATGTTATGCTGTGTGTTTCATTGATATGTTTAAACATAAAACACAAAGAGAAATAAACTTTATATTAATTTTAAACGATGTAATACGGCTCAAAGTTTGAATAATAATTACACTTGAAAAACTTTGAGGGCCGCTTGGGCCTGGGGACGAGGATGTTGAAAAACAACCAATCAGCACCCGACTTCCACCGGTGTTTCCCAGAGCCTCAGCAAGCCTCCACAGAGGATTGCGGGCTCTGGTTTCGAGATTGAAGCCCGTCACGCCCGCGTGAGCAGATTTTCAAAGCCCGCTCCGCCCGCGCGGGCAAAGCGACTGCAATGGAAAATTTACGGGGGTGGGACAGCATCAAGCGACAAATTATCGTCGGATTTGATATGCTGTCCCACCCCGAGTAAGGCGGTATTGTCAGTATGTATTGATTACGTCAGGGCCGTCCTCAGGAAATTCTTCAGGGGGGGTGTAATAAGGTCAATTCAACCGACTGTTTCAAAAAAAAATTTTCCGGATCAATTTTTCCGGATCCGGGGGATCCCCCCCCGTCGCCAAAAAAATTTCGGTCAGTGTACCATTTTAGGGGTCCAAAAATTTTTCCGGACGTACAAAAATTTTCCGGAACATTCAAAAATTTTCCGCACATAACAAATTTTCAACATTTTTTTACATTTTTCCAAAATTTTTACATTTTTCCTCAAAATTTTCCTAAAATTCCCACCACGTTCTTGCCCTTTGCGACAAAAATATTTAACCCAAATAGCAGTTCTACCGACTGAATAGCAGTCCTACCGACTGAATAGCAGTCCTGCCTACTGAATACAATTACTGGGGGGGGGGGTGTCACACCTCCCCCCCCCACCCCCCCACCCGTAGCTCCGGGCCTGGATTACGTCACGTCCACGATCGTGCCCGAGCAGCCCTAAGTATTTTGAACAGCATCCGAAATTGAGGAGGTTTTGGTTCCGTTCGTCGCTAAATTTGCCCAAGCTACGATCAAACCATTAGTGATATTATTTAGAAAGAGAAATCTTTTTGAAAAGATGTAATCGAACTTGTTTTGCCGTACGACCAATTTGAGCGGAGTTATTTGACTTTGAAGGCGATGCGGTCGTGCCGCCAGTGATTAGCCTTTTACTGTTATATTATATATAATGAGCACACACAATGTAGGCCACAGAAAATGTTACATCAACCAGGGACGCCGGAACGATAATAGGGCAAAGGGGGGCGGACGCACACCAAGGGCACCTTTACTGAAAAAAATGTTTTCACTGCAAAATTTTTGGGGGACCTCCCCCCCCCCGGCCAAAAAAACTTCGGTCAGTGTACCATTTTAGGGGTCAAAAATTATTTCCGGACATACAAAAATTTTCCGTGAAGCCAAAAATTTTTCCGGATATCTTAAATTTTCGCCATTTCTTCAAAATATTTTTCTAAATTCCAAAAATTTCCCAAAATTTTTATAAATATAAACTATAAATTACCTGAATCTCGTGATTGTCCTACAAAAAGCATCGTTGGAAATGTGATTTATCACGTATTATTTTACAACTAAAAGGGCACTTCTGCCCCCCCTGCCCCCCTAGCAAAAGGCAAGGGGGGCAGAGGCCCCCCCTGCCCCCCCCCCCAGTTCCGGCGTCTCTGGCTGTCCTCTATATGCATACAGCTGTTGTAGGAGTGGGATTGTTCGTCTATGGGGAATACACTCAAGTGTCAGATACACTTTATTGTATTTGTGGGGTTGAAGTGCTCCCAAAGGTCACCTTCATGCCCATAGACTCATTCAATGTAAATATAATCGGCCGAGTTATAGGAACTGTCCAAGGGACCCTTACCCCTTGGTTCAGGTTAATAAGGTCGGAGGGGGTCGCTACCCTTCTGGCATGTGCTCTGGGGACCCTTACCCCCAGGGCAGCCCTAGGAACCATTACCCCTAGGGTTATCAGAGCGGGCCTTATATATACCCCGCAGGATGAAATATAAGGCCATAAAGAGTCTATTGGGTTAAATATACATATAATGTGACACTTATTGTAACAGGAGTACTTCACCCCCATAACCCATTCTCCCACACAAAAGCTGTCTATGTCTACTCTTAATTCTTAGCTCAGTTAGCTGGCTGGAGAGCAATTGTTCCATTAATTCGTCATTCAAAACATTGATCAGTGAAATAGGGTCAGTGTGAGAATAGTATATACTGGTGTCGTCTGCGAATAATAATGATTCAGTTATGTTTAAAGCATTCGGGAGGTCATTGATATAAAGGATAAAAAACAATGGTCCTAATATGGAGGCCTTGTGGTACACCACAGGTGATGGTGTTTACCGAAGATGAAACGTTATATTGAACAAATTGCAATGCAACTCCACGAATGCCATAACGTTCCAATTTATAATAGAGTATTTGATGATTGATAGTATCGAACGCTTTAGATAAGTCTAAGAAAACACCGGCAGTGACTCCGCCCTCATCAATAGATGAGGTGATTTTATTGACCAGGTGAGTAAGCGCTAGATCTGTTGAATGGTTTTTACGAAAACCAAATTGATAACAATACAGAATTTCGTATTTCTGAACAAATTCAGATAAACGAATATGCATTACTCTTTCGTAAAACTTAGAAAAATTTGATAAGATAGATATAGGTCTATAATTTTTATAAGATTCTGGGTCATCAGCCTTGAAAATAGGAATTACTTTAGCCATTTTTAATTTCTCGGGGAAAACTCCCGTTTCAAGAGATAAATTAATGATGTTCATTAATGGTACAATGATAAATTCAACAGAGTTCTTGATAAGGTGCATAGGAATATTATCGTAGCCAGGTGCTTTTTTAGAGCTGAAAGAGCTACAAATTTCCATTAGTTCTGAGATTGAAGTTGGTCTAAGATATATAGTTTGATCATTAGCAGGACCAACGAAGTTTTGAAAAGCGGAGTTAGTTGTTTGTATCTTACTTGCTAAAGTTGGACCAATATTTGTAAAGTAATGACAAAATTCATTGGCAATTTTAACTGGATCAGTGATGGTTCTCCCATTTGAGTTGAAAGAAGACGGCAAAGGCCGCTTGTTGCTTTTTTTATTAATAATTTCATTAATTAGTTTCCAAGTAGCTTTCAGGTCATTTTTTGATTGTTCGAATTTATCATCGTAGTATGTGTAGTCATCGTAGTATGTGTTATCATCGTAGTATGTAGTATATGATGAAGGCGTTTTACTAACAGTTTGTTAGGTTAGTAAAGAGTGATTTGATGTCAAACAATACAAATCTGTACTTTTATCAAAGAGCTGGCGTGTGGAAAATTGTTAATTTGGCAAATTTGTCAAAGCTTGTATCAAAACTGTCTTGAATTGTAAATTTGTCATTGGATTCGGAACTGGTTAGAGTGAGGTGTTTGGCAACAGGTTGTAAGCAGTTCATGCCTGTTATGTTAATTATATAGGCTTAAATCTAGGGAGAGATCGAGAGTAAAATGTTCTATAAATTTCAGAAAGGCCGTGCTCTCGTGCAGGTCAATAGGTATTTGGTCATTTGCCTTTATAATGATGTAAAATAATATCATTGGACAGGTTAAACCCTGAGTTTTGCTTCGCTGTGTAAAGATCTCTAAGCCAATGCGCATACCCTTACAACGCACTTACAAATCTAAACTCATTTCCACATCACTTAAAAAGAGAACATTGAAAAACTGATACTTGACTCTTGAACCAAAACATTATTCTCCTAAACTGACAACTGTACAAAAGTAGGTACGCTAGGCGTACATATATCTGCCCTGATTTATGTACTCCCAATCTCGTTCCCAGAGTATGCCTGTTCGCGGGTTAGGTAGTGGCATGACTCTGGGGAAATCGAATTTATTTTATCCAAAATGAGATAAATGGCGCATGCGCTTTCATTGCTTATGTTTATTCCGCTTACTAAATTCGCGCGGGCACACGCTCACAATCGATATATTTGTTGAACAGATTCTCATCAGAATATAGTATACAAAATGGTTTTTTATACGTTTAAAGGTGCTTTAAATCGCACTACTATTAAATTATATTCAATGGTAAATATTGAAAGAGCTATTAAAGCCGTTCTAGCAAAAAGAGGGCTTGAATATTCGTTAAAAGACGAGACATTCAAATGTATCTCGGCCATTGTAAAATGGCGTCAGAAGATCACAGAAGATGTTTTGCCAACAGGTTATGGGCTTATTATGGCAAATATTAAAATATTTCAGCTGCTACCTGACGTGTACGACATGTTACTTGGCGTAACTAATTCTATCGTGATAGTCATATAACCACATGAATGACCAAGGCATTTATGCATGCATGATAGTATGATACAAGGCCATTCTGTGCTAATGGCAGCGATATCAAATTACCATTGGATCGACATGAGAACCCAACGTATAAGCTGTTCTATATGCACACAGAAATGTGTGTCTATGACAAGAAAATACAAGCTTTTTTCAACTGTATACTGTAAACCTCTGAATATAATGCTCACCTCATTCCAAATATAAGCCTCCCCTGAATATAAGTCCCCTGAATTATAAGCCCAGTATATAATATAGCAGAGAACGGTATTTAAAACACTGTCATTGTCTTTATATAGCTTACTATGTTAATCGAAGTGTGTTATTAATACATGTTTATTTTTCTGTTTTTGACTGACTTGTTTATTACTAACACAATTGATCGTCCATGTATAAGCCCCCCCCGCCCCCCCCTAAGCCAATCAAAAATCGCTTACAAAAGAATATAAGCCCAGGGCTTACAGTATTATATATCACATATTTTAAAGTGGAAGTCAAGTCCGTTCTGCGCATCGGTTCTGCTCATAACAATGTGAGGACCTCTAATGTGAACATTGCCCAAATTTCGAATGTTTCGAATTTTTCTGAACATAAACTCTATTTCATATTCATTTAGAAGCATAGCGAACCAAAATGGTGTTAGATATTCAGACAGTACATCATATTTTAAAAAATACAGCTGCAGTTCAAAATGTAAACAAACCGTTTGTTTACATTACGGACTTGACTTCCACTTTAACAATAAACACATTATTTTTTATATTATATTACATTAACATATATACATGGAGCACAAATAAAGTCTTTAAATGACAGTACATTGTGTTTGTAATTATAATTACTTGTGTCGAAAGTAAGAAATGAAGTGAACAAATCCATATATATTTGTTGAAAAGTTGTTGCAGTGGGTATCTACCATTTGTTTTTCATGCTTCACACTGTATATCTTTGAACATTTAATCAGCAACTAATTATAGGCAAGGATATATTTACTAGCCCATTACTCCATATTACCAGGTACATACCATGCAAATTATACATCAACCTTGCAATCCATGCTTTAACCCCTGCAGTTGCCCCCTCTCCTGCAGCATGTTTGGGAAGGGAGAGGAAAGAATGGAGGTACTGTAATTTCTATATTTAGCCCCCTTCTCTTTAAGCCCCTCTCCAATAACCCCCCCCCCTCATTTGGATACAAAAATAAATAAGCCCCCCTCCTCTTTTAACCATGCAGTCCCCATTCAATTAATTCTTAAAATCATGAAATATATTGCATTTCTGCAGTATTTTAATAAAATATAGTACAACGGTAACTCTGAATATGGACATTTTTTAATGGTAACCAGACTTATTGCATATATTTAGAACAAGTGCCCCCTCAATGATGCTTGGGAAACAATAACACCCAGGAGGCTTGATACAGAAATTAAAGTAGTTATTTGATTGAAACTGGTAGCTATTTCAATCCTACTGTATCTCCTTTTATATATAATTGGATTAATTGCCAATATATTCACATAGTATAATAGTTTGGAAATGGAATCAATGCTTGTATATTTTTAGCAAATGAGCATTGTTATTGATCCACAATGACTTTTATTGCCATAAACAACATTGTTTCACATAGCAACAGACAAGGAAACAATGAAACATCGGTATTTAAATTCACTACTTATTTTTTATCCAGACAAAAATTGATGCAAAAATTATTCCAGGTTTGGCTTAGTTATAGCCTTACATCATGCTGTCAAGTGGCAATCATTTACAAAGCAGGTCTTTAAGGTCTTTAACCAAAAGTTTTACAACCTGAGGAACTTCTTAAATCAATTATTCTATAATTTATACAGATGCTACAAAAACACCTGGCATCTTAAATTTATATAGATAACTCCTTTTACAAAAGCACAAAGACCATGGGCTACAACATGTTGAGTGTTGACCATAATTGATAATGTGCAGTTAAGTGACCTCTTAGCACATATTTGTCAAGTGAACATGAAACGGAAGATCTAATGTACTGCATTGTTTAAAGCTTTAACACAAGCAAAAGCTGCCACTCCAAAATCCTGGCAACAATATATCAATTTAACAAAACAACAACAACGTCAACGTGTGCGATGATTTCATTTAGCCAATTCTTTCATGGTTTAATATCATGGAATAAATACGAAACTTGTACGCCGTTGTTTCCACATACAAATATGTCAATATACTCACACTGTAGATCGATAAAAAGTCATTCATAAATACTATGCCATTTTGTAAGTATATATCCAACGTCCCAATACTTGTTCATACGATTAATATTATATCCTTCGATTTATATTGTTTGATTTCGCATTCCAAAATCTGATAAACATTGATAATTCTCTCTTCGCGTATGTCCACGCGTAATTCTCGCAAAAAACACGCATTAATGTGTCGGCAACATTGATGATCGCGGCAGCCAATCAAATAACGATTTCGATTCGATTTCCCCAGAGTCATGCCACTACTTAACCCGCGAACAGGCATACTCTGGGAACGAGATTGATGTACTCCCCACTTATAGTAATTTGGTATTCCCTGAACAGGTGGGAAATTTGTCTGAGCATGCGCGAGCACAATAAGTCACGCAATTGCGCGGAATACACGCAACGCGTGTTTATAAAAAGGCGCAATTCTGTAAATATTGCCAAATGTTTGGTACAAAATAAATGACTGTTTTATGTTGAAAATGGACATGATCTAAATTAATCATGGGTGTGCTGTCCGTGTGCATTCGATCTGAAACAGTTGCTACTTTGCTGTCGAAACATTTCGAATGAGCCCCTATTTTTACCTAAGATATCAAATAAATATATATGAAACAGAGAACATTTCTAGAAAGTTTTATCGTGAGGCCACGGCCAGTTTTTTTTCCGGTCATCACCAAAATTACACTGATACCAGTCTTGAATATACAACAAATTTTGAATCTCATCAAGTACAAAAATATTTAACGTGTAACCAAAATATGCTCAACATCATGTCAACCATAATATGTCACGTGCAGCGGCTTTAAACCTGATAAAACACTCCTAATTAGTATTCTTTATATAAAAAATACTAATAAGGCAGTATCTATTGTTGACGTGTCCTCATTAGTATTCTTTATATAAAGAATACTAATAAGTATAGGTAATCACACGGGAAGGAGTGCAATTAATGATTAACACTACAAGTGATATTTGAAAAATGTGCCAATGTTCTCTTAACCAATCAGATTGCAGTAATTTTGTCATGTATATAATAAGGCAGTATATCTATTGAATTTGTAGTCGTGTTTGAAGCCGTTTAATAAACTCGCAGGTCGTGTTTTATTAGGTCTAAAAGCAGGGCGTAATAAAACACGGGCGAGGAAACGTGCTGATATCGCGCTGATCCATGTGTGATGCGGCTGGGGAATGGCACGAGCGCGCGTTTTGCAAAAATCAAGAAGAAAAGCGAAAATTGCAGCGAAACGAAAATTTGTTGAAGAGCTGGATGTTCCGAGTTATAATAAAGATATGTTTAAACTTTAACCTAAATATTCAGTGTAACATCGAAAGAAAAGCTACTATACTTTCATTTAATAAATAAATGTTAATCGATATGTTTTGATTTTTATTTCTGTTAAAATCTATCATTTTTAAGTGCTGACAATAGATTTTACATTAGGTTTTGAAGTCCATAGATTCTGCTAGGTAAATTTGATGGCGCAAAAAGTTGCCAAAATTATAATACTTTGCACTACTTAATACAGCTAGACCGGCTTTTACTGGCTTTTTTGGCTGTTAAAAACCTTTTGTACATCAAAAGTATAGCTATTAATTTTTGTTGCTGGCAACAGAATAAATGTTTAATTACGTTCTCAAAGAGCCTTCAAGTGCAAAATTGCATTGATAATTAATTCAAGAATACTTTTCCAAACCGAGTTTTTAAACTGATGTTTTTCGACACATGTTTCATTACTAGTAAAATCGTCGGTTTTGTTTAGTGAAGAAGCGTAGTACGGCCATCGAACGCAATAGCGGACGTTGGGCTGCAAATGTTTTAGCATCACAGGAAAAACAAACCGCGGAAAATGCTCGTAAAAATTTTCCTAGGTCCCAAAACTACCCAAAACCTTTGTATTCTATGACATTAAGTTATGATATATCCGAAATACAACATTAGACAAGCGGCTTTTTTGATAAAGTCTGTCTTTTTGCCTGGCTTTTTTACGTTGCCAAATCAACAAGAAAATATTTCTTTAAAAAAAGAAATGTTTCGTTCCAATATAATTATAGAAATACCAGACGTCTGCATGTAGTTAGCGGTTGTGACCATAGATCACTTGTATATGTCGAGCAATGAAATTGGTTCATTTTGTGAGGCGGGCGGGTTCTGGTAATTTTTTGCACGTATTAGTATAAATTTTCATTACCTGGAGGGGCCGAGCGGTCCAGAAATACAGTAGTAGTATTTAAAATGAAGAAAAACAAAGAAAACTATATAATAAATATATACCGCTGTTGGCGCTTGAATACTTCAAATATAAATCATCGTGCCATTTAACCTGAAGTTCAGGCTCTAAGATTTTGATTGGTTGCAAGTTCACATAAACAACAGTTTTAAAAATAGCTCGGCAAGGGCTCAAGGGGACAATAATAATATAAAGGTCAAACGCACGTAACAAATCCATTATCGATTTCTTCGAATTTCTTTTCTTGTATGCTTTATGGCAGAAAATAAATCAAACAAATAGTATTTTGAAAGGTTTTTATCAAAATCTTTGACGAATTTTGGACACACGACGCTGAAAGAACAGCCAAACTAGTCATGTATTCGAAAGCTTGTTGTTGACAGCCAAGATGTTCTGCCAACTGGCTTCGCCGCAATCGCCGGTCGCAAAGTCTTATTTTTAATATCAGGTCCTACCGGCGTTGTTTTCTGAGCTACATCGCCTTCTTCGTGGTACGATTGAGAATTTTATTGTTGCTGTTGTTAGCCCGTTAGAGTATATCCCTGGTATATCCGCGTCCAGCAAGTTGAGACCTTGAGAAAGCTTGGCAGTCAAGCCGTACACAGAACTGACTAATTGAATCTTTGTTTGCTGTTCGGTTAAATAGAGAAACTGACTCTTAATTATATAAAAGTACCTTGAGTTTTTTAGTTTAATTAAAAAGCAAAATGCACACTCTGCGGACATGTTCATGAGAATATAAATTTTTTGTGTAACGAAATCTACAACACTTGTCAATCATATTGCATGCTGTGTCTAAAAATAACATGTGGGCGTCCCACGGTCTAGACAGGTTTTGTGTCAGGCCCTATTTAAAATTAGGGCCTGAACTTCAGGTTAAGTTACCATGTTCTCATAGGTTGACATATAATTAACTAAGATTTCCGATTATATACGACACGCCTCCAAAAAACTTCTTATGCTAGGAGCGGTCATCTCATTGAACGATTCTAAATGTAATTAACGTTTCAGCAAGAATACTGGCAAAGGATTGGATAACTTTGATTTCAGACGTCACTTTCCTGTGATATTGCTCGAAACCAAATACAGTACCGTTTCGTTCCTGCGGGGAACGAAACAAAAATATAGCTTCTCTCCAGGGACGGGGCATTTTATATCAACAATGAAAACAAACCGCGGAAAAATTGTATTTTTGCTCGTAAAAGTTTCCCTAGGTTTGAAATCTACCTAAAACTTTGGTATTCTTTGAGATTAAGTTATGATATATCCGAAATACAACATTAGATGAATGGCTTTTTTGATAAAGCATGTCTTTTTGGCTTGCTTTTTAACGTTGCCAGATAAAAAATATAGCGTCTCGCCATTGAACACGGGACATCACTTATAAACAATGAAAAACAAACCGCGGAAAAATTGTATTTTTGTTCGTAAAAGTAGTTCCCAAGGTTCGAAATCTACTCAAAACTTTGGTATTCTATGAGATTAAGTTATGATGTATCCGAAATACAACATTAGATAAATGGCTTTTTTGATAAAGAATGTATTTTTGCCTCGCTTTTTACGTTGCCAAATCAAAAATATAGCTTCTCTCTATAGGGACGGGGCATTTTATATCAACAATGAAAACAAACCGCGGAAAAATTGTATTCTTGCTCGTAAAAGTTTCCCAAGTTTCGAAATCTACTAAAAACTTTGGTATTCTATGAGATTAAGTTATGATGTATCCGAAATACAACATTAGATAAATGGCTTTTTTGATAAAGCATGTATTTTTGGCTTGCTTTTTTACGTTGCCAGATCAAAAATATAGGTTCTCGCCATTTCAACATGAAAAAGATTTACCAATTATAACATGAAAAATTTAAAAACACATCTAATTTAACGTACCTGATTTCCAAACAAACATTCCAGTTGCAGCGTTTATGACAACAGCTGTTTGAAAACTTATCTTCATCTATATATTTTCATCTTATAAAGATACAGACGAACGCAGTTGTTTTGCAAAAAATCCTGATCACCTCGTGACTCGTATTTATATTAAAATAGTCGAAATGTCGAACCCCGCAGTGAAATCCCCGGCTTCTTCTAAACTTCAAGATTCCCTATCACCATTATTAAGAATCCTGAACTAAGCTTTTGTCTTTTATTAGCACAGAACCCCAAAATCCATTCGGTGAATTCAGCTCGAATTTACTAAACGAAGCCAAAACAAGCACGCCTGTTCGAACCACGCATGGAATAAAAATCAAAATATGCGGGGGGGGGGGGGCCTGCATCACACATAGATCAGGGGCGCTATCTCTGTTTCCCCGCCCGTGTTTTACAGCGCCCTGGTCTAAAGGCACTCGCGCTGCGCGCTCGTGGCTTTAAACCTAATAAAACCCTCCTGCTCGTTTATTAAACAGTACTTAGAATCGGAGTTGAACTTAATAAGTCGATTCTAAACGTGTTCCAAACTAAATTGGGATTTTCCAAAGTAGCATTTTATCCGCAGAATTTAAAAAATAGGTACGCGATGCGTACATGTATCTGCGAAAAAACTTGATTCACATTTTCATCACTTATTATAATAAATATAATAGCAAATAAGATTTTAAAGTCAAACATAGTACAAATCTAACAAGGCTGTAGACAGCACCACAGAATAAGAAGGTACAGCACAAGTGTAACTCAAGCAAGTATTTGTCAGCGTTTTTACAAGTGATTCGTCATCAATCACACCATCCTGGCTAGTACAACCGGCACTTAGCATCTACCAAAACCTGATTCAGGTCATGAGTGAAGTATATAATTCAATTCCAATCCTGTGCACAGTTAATGATATACCAAACTGTTCGGTTTAACACAGCATATCCACACAAAAACAATTTGTGTTGTGGGAGAATATCAGTTTGAGTAGAAGGTATCACAGGTTTAGTTTTGTACATATTGTGTGCCATTGATCTGATCCATCCATATAATAAATTATATGATTATTATAGCTGTTAAGTTATTATCCATACTAATGAATTTAGGTAAGATTGTCTTGCAAGTGGGTTGTTCTGACAAAATTATCTAGTCAATATCCAGTACATTTATTCATCATTCTTGCATTAATCTCTAAACAAAAACATTTATGTTACAAAACAAAATAACAATATACTAATGAGGAAGGAGAGTGGGGATTCTTTTATTAGCATTTGAAAATGTTTGTAAACATTTTGTTTAAAAACTCAAATCACTGTAAAACCAAAATGTATAAGTATTTTAACTGATAACATCGAACAGAGTTTACTACAGAATTGCAGCACCAGGATTTAATTCAATATCTCCTTTATTAATAGAACATTAGTTTCCTATGACATTGTTCATTGACAAATATATTGTTGAATGATTGTTTTACTGTATAACTATATAATAAAATAATAAATATGTGGTATTTGACTACTTACCAGATGAGGATGAGTTTCCATGTTGATAGATAACTTCGGAATAATATCGCAAGTAGAATGGCACGTAAAAAAAAACAATATCAAGATATTTTCGAAGCCAAAATGTGAAAAATGGCAAAGAATAACACGAGGCTAAACGCCGCCGTTCGCAGGTTAGATGCGGGCACGATGTAGACAATCGATGTAAACTAATCGTTGATTGGCATAAATTATCATGAATTGGCATAAATTATATAAGCTCGTCGCTGAATGGCTATGTGCTAACATACGCTAACAGTACGGTCACGTTTGCGATAGCAATATATCTGCTTCGAAGATACAAAAAGAAACATAATTATGCGGACAAGTCGCATTTCTGGCTAAAAAACCTTATTTTTGTGGAAAAACCTTCAAATGTAAACACGTTCCGCACAATTACACTATTTAGTTGAAATATATTCCCACATCAAAGTTCACTGACAAAATACAATCCTTAAAAGGGATTCAGAAAATCTGAACCCTGCAACATAGAATTCCGCAAAATCATGCAAAAATGATAAATCTCGAGACACAGGGTTCAGAATTTCTGACCCCCTTACAAGCCAAATACTAAAGTGATTTCTGAAGGCTTTAGGTCCCGATATTGTTAAAAGGTGTCAGAAAATCTGAACCCTGCAACATAGAATTCCGCAAAATCATGCAAAAATAATAAATCTTGAGACACGGGGTTCAGAAAATCTGACCCCCTTACAAGAAAAATACTAAAGTGATTTCTGAAGGCTTTAGGCCCCGATATTGTAAAAAGGTGTCGGAAAATCTGAACCCTGCAACATAGAATTCCGCAAAATCATGCAAAAATGATAAATCTTGAGACACGGGGTTCAGAAAATCTGACCCCCTTACAAGCAAAATACTAAAGTGATTTCTGAAGGCTTTAGGCCCCGATATTGTAAAAAGGTGTCAGAAAATCTGAACCCTGCAACATAGAATTCCGCAAAATCATGCAAAAATGATAAATCTTGAGACACGGGGTTCAGATTTCTGACCCCCTTACAAGCAAAATACTAAAGTGATTTCTGAAGGCTTTAGGGCCCGATATTGTAAAAAGGTGTCAGAAAATCTGAATCCTGCAGCATAGAATTCCGCAAAATCATGCAAAAATGATAAATCTCGAGACACAGGGTTCAGAATTTCTGACCCCCTTACAAACCAAATACTAAAGTGATTTCTGAAGGCTTTAGGTCCCGATATTGTAAAAAGGTGTCAGAAAATATGAACCCTGTAGCATAGAATTCCGCAAAATCATGCAAAAATGATAAATCTCGAGACACGGAGTTCAGAATTTCTGACCCCCTTACAAGCCAAATACTAAAGTGATTTTTGAAGGCTTTAGGCCCCGATATTGTAAAAAGATGTCAGAAAATCTGAACCCTACAACATAGAATTCCGCAAAATCATGCAAAATGATAAATCTCGAGACACGGGGTTCAGAATTTCTAACCCCCTTACAAGCCAAATACATACTAAAGCGATTTCAGAAGGCTTTAGGCCCCGATATTGTAAAAAGGTGTCAGAAAATACGAACCCTACAACATGGAATTCTGCAAAATCATGCAAAAATGATAAATCTCGAGACACGGGGTTCAGAATTTCTGACCCCCTTAGAAGCCAAAATACTAAAGTGATTTCTGAAGGCTTTAGGTCCCAATATTGTAGAAAGGTGTCAGAAAATCTGAACCCTGCAACATAGAATTCCGCAAAATCATGCAAAAATTATAAATCTTGAGACTCGGGGTTCAGAATTTCTGACCCCCTTACAAGCAAAATACTAAAGTGATTTCTGAAGGCTTTAGGGCCCGATATTGTAAAAAGGTGTCAGAAAATCTGAATCCTGCAGCATAGAATTCCGCAAAATCATGCAAAAATGATAAATCTCGAGACACAGGGTTCAGAATTTCTGACCCCCTTACAAACCAAATACTAAAGTGATTTCTGAAGGCTTTAGGTCCCGATATTGTAAAAAGGTGTCAGAAAATATGAACCCTGTAGCATAGAATTCCGCAAAATCATGCAAAAATGATAAATCTCGAGACACGGAGTTCAGAATTTCTGACTCCCTTACAAGCCAAATACTAAAGTGATTTTTGAAGGCTTTAGGCCCCGATATTGTAAAAAGATGTCAGAAAATCTGAACCCTACAACATAGAATTCCGCAAAATCATGCAAAATGATAAATCTCGAGACACGGGGTTCAGAATTTCTGACCCCCTTACAAGCCAAATACATACTAAAGCGATTTCAGAAGGTTTTAGGCCCCGATATTGTAAAAAGGTGTCAGAAAATACGAACCCTACAACATGGAATTCTGCAAAATCATGCAAAAATGATAAATCTCGAGACACGGGGTTCAGAATTTCTGACCCCCTTAGAAGCCAAAATACTAAAGTGATTTCTGAAGGCTTTAGGTCCCAATATTGTAGAAAGGTGTCAAAAAATCTGAACCCTGCAACATAGAATTCCGCAAAATCATGCAAAAATTATAAATCTTGAGACTCGGGGTTCAGAATTTCTGACCCCCTTACAAGCAAAATACTAAAGTGATTTCTGAAGGCTTTAGGCCCCGATATTGTAAAAAGGTGTCAGAAAATCTGAATCCTGCAGCATAGAATTCCGCAAAATCATGCAAAAATGATAAATCTCGAGACACAGGGTTCAGAATTTCTGACCCCCTTACAAGCCAAATACTAAAGTGATTTCTGAAGGCTTTAGGTCCCAATATTGTAGAAAGGTGTCAGAAAATCTGAACCCTGCAACATAGAATTCCGCAAAATCATGCAAAAATTATAAATTTTGAGACTCGGGGTTCAGAATTTCTGATCCCCTTACAAGCCAAATACTAAAGTGATTTCTGAAGGCTTTAGGTCCCGATATTGTAAAAAGGTGTCAGAAAATATGAACCCTGCAGCATAGAATTCCGCAAAATCATGCAAAAATGATAAATCTCGAGACACGGGGTTAGAATTTCTGACCCCCTTACAAGCCAAATACATACTAAAGCGATTTCAGACGGCTTTAGGCCCCGATATTTTAAAAAGGTGTCAGAAAATCTGAACCCTGCAACATAGAATTCCGCAAAATCATGCAAAAATGATAAATCTTGAGACTCGGGGTTCAGAATTTCTGACCCCCTTACAAGCAAAATACTAAAGTGATTTCTGAAGTCTTTAGGCCCCGATATTGTAAAAGGGTGTCAGAAAATCTGAACCCTGCAGCATAGAATCCCGCAAAATCATGCAAAAATGATAAATCTCGAGACACGGAGTTCAGAATTTCTGACCCCCTTACAAGCCAAATACTAAAGTGATTTTTGAAGGCTTTAGGCCCCGATATTGTAAAAAGATGTCAGAAAATCTGAACCCTGCAACATAGAATTCCGCAAAATCATGCAAAATGATAAATCTCGAGACACGGGGTTCAGAATTTCTGACCCCCTTACAAGCCAAATACATACTAAAGCGATTTCAGAAGGCTTTAGGCCCCGATATTGTAAAAAGGTGTCAGAAAATCTGAACCCTACAACATGGAATTCTGCAAAATCATGCAAAAATGATAAATCTCGAGACACGGGGTTCAGAATTTCTGACTCCCTTACAAGCCAAATACTAAAGTGATTTTTGAAGGCTTTAGGCCCCAATATTGTAAAAAGGTGTCAGAAAATCTGAACCCTGCAACATAGAATTCCGCAAAATCATGCAAAATGATAAATCTCGAGACACGGGGTTCAGAATTTCTGACCCCCTTACAAGCCAAATACATACTAAAGCGATTTCAGAAGGTTTTAGGCCCCGATATTGTAAAAAGGTGTCAGAAAATCTGAACCCTACAACATGGAATTCTGCAAAATCATGCAAAAATGATAAATCTCGAGACACGGGGTTCAGAATTTCTGACCCCCTTAGAAGCCAAAATACTAAAGTGATTTCTGAAGGCTTTAGGCCCCAATATTGTAAAAAGGTGTCAGAAAATCTGAACCCTGCAACATAGAATTCCGCAAAATCATGCAAAAATGATAAATCTCGAGACACAGGGTTCGGAATTTCTGACCCCCTTCGAAGCCAATAGGTCCTTTCATAATAGAAAAAAGTTAAGATGTACATGTGCATGCCTGGTTTAGAAAGCGTGTAATTCTTGAAATAATATAAATATATAAACATGAAAGTCGAGTACTCTATCTACATCTACAAATTCTACAGTCTTATAGTTGTTTTACTTGCCATCCATCAGCTTTCTAAAGTTTCTTTTCGTGACAAATTCTTCATCATCAGACTAGACAATACAAAGACCATTTCGCTTTATCCCAACTGCAGCAACAACTGCATTGCCTGTAATAAGTTACAAATACTGAATATTAGAATATGTTTCTAAATAATTACGTTTTATACATACATTTAGGCAATATATATATATATATATATATATATATATATATATATATATATATATATATATATATATATATATATATATATATATATATATATATATATGTGATACAATTAAGGTTGTTCTTCCAAACAGTAAGACCGGAGCTTAAACCTTAAACTCAGAGTATGCCAGAGATCAATAATCCATCACCCTTGCGCAATCAGAGTTTAAAGTTTAAGTTTTTGAAAGAGAACCTTTATAGAATCGTATGTACAATGCACTTACGTATAATGTATATTACTGCATAAGCATTAGCTGCATGCAGGCCCACCAGGGGAAGATTAGTGGGCCTGCAAGGAAGACCGGGTATTTTGCATTTGTCGTGTTCGCACACGAACGCAGCATTCTGATTGGCTGTTTGCTGTTAGACTCTATAATTAGATCAGTTACTCATCACAAAGGCTCTCAATGAGCTTAATATTGGATCTGATCACTTTTTTCGATTAATAATGACCAGTACAAGAACCGATCGTTTATTGTTTACTTGAAGGAAGAGATGTTTTTGCCGTTATGCTAGCGGGATTGCTTGTCATGAAGTGTTAGAATAGCAACATTACCACTGGGGTAAACTATAGTTAAACCGTTTAATACTTGAGTATTGTTAATTTCAAACAAATTTGATACGTTTATATGTTCCTTAAGAAATTATGTTTTGGTTCATGTTGACTCCATTCTTACACTGAAGAAAACAGCACTTTTCGTGGTGAAGATTTTGAGGTAGTTGCAAGTAAGCCTGTTCGAAACACTTTGCGATTTGCAGGGCTTCCTTTTTGAGAGGGCAAAACAGAAGATGGTATTAATTGCCGTTTGAAAAGATCTGGACTCTGAACTCTCTCTTCTTTTGTCGAGTTCTTTAGCAAATTAAATAACTTAAATAAATTTCGTACTTAGTGAAACTACGTAAGTGAAATTGAGCACTTGCAAATTGGGCAATGATTTGAAGCTGACTGGTTTGCTTGCTTTTTTGGAGTTAAACATAGCCATTTACATACTGTTTATATTCTGAATAGCAGAGAAAACCCCGCAACATTTTAATGCAAGTTTGTTTAATACTATTTGGGTTGCTATCATTGGTTCTTGTTTGACAATTGACGCGCGAATGGGGCGTGTTATGAAAAGGGGCGTTTTACAAAACACCCGGTCTTTCTTGTAGGCCCACTATTCTTCCCTCGGTGGGCCTGCACGCGGGCTAGATAAGCATGGACAGTATTCACTGTAAAGGGCGGATTTTTATTTATGTAAAAGGGGGGCCAGAAAAATTTATGGTGGGGTGCAAGCGGCACCATTCAGTGAGCTTCAGCATGGGTTAGGCGTTTGGGTTAAAGCCTTTCACACAAAATAGGAGGGGTGAAGCGAAATTTTGGTGGGGTTGAACACTTTATTGGAGGGTTTAGAGGGATTCTAGGGGGACGAATTCACTGAGAGGGGGGGGCTAACCTCATGCTGTAAAGTAACAAAGCGTTCCTGTCGTACTGTAGCTAAACAGGCATTAATTACTATAGGGTACCTTGTGAAGAGTTGATATCGAAGACCCAGTCACCTTCATGGCTAAACATTCTTATTAGATCATTTAACCACATGCATTCCTCACCAAAGTTGAAATGGTCCAGCAGTAACTTATCACCAACAGAAGCATGGTACACCATAAAAGCACTAACTGACTGCACCATAGCAAGGTTTCCTAAACCACAAGTAATAGATTAGACAGTGCAGTTCACGAATAAAGTGGGGCGCATTACCAGTCAATGGATTAACAGGAGAAATTCACAGATAGAGAATGTTAGCACATTAAGCTGCCAGACTCTAACACCTTGACAAGTAAAATCATCTGGCATTAGACAAAGTAAAAGAATAACATCGGGCACATTTGAGCACATTGTCAGTCAATGGGTATTTCTATTACAAATATGGAAACTGCAGTACATAATTACCCCTTTGACAATGCCTAGAAAATTGTAAACATTTAACAATTATTCGCCGAAGTGATTATCGGGGAATATTCGCCAAGACGAAGTCGAGGTGAATATTCCCTGAGCCTGAGGCGAATAATTGTTTTGGTATTTTTACACAAGTCTTTTGTGTTTTTCGGACTGAATTTATTTTAATTTTGCTTATTTCTTTACTAGTAACTTCCAGAAAATGGCTAGCCGCCGTTTTGAAAATGTTGGTTTTGTTATATTCGCTTGTAGGTGAATACTGTATAACAGCTTAATACGTCCAATTTGACCAATCAACCTGTAGGATTTGTTATATTCACTTGTGCAAAAATACTAAATATAATTAAGTTAGCACAATAATTAAGCAATTTGAAATATTATTACTTAGTAGTATACTATGGTTTGTAAAACTTACAGGAAAACGAAGCAACTGTTCTGCTTCTTCAAGACTGATGTCTCCCTTCGCAACCTTGAAAACAATTGTAATTATTATAAACAATGACTCTTGATATTACAAATCATCAGTTCATCCCTTATTATGTAATGAAATATTTATGTCAACAACTGCTGCATAGATACCGGTACTGTATTAAGGGCTGTTTATATGGTCCACTGAGACAACTTCATCATGCGTTTGGATGAAAATTTGCCAAAAACGAATCTCTGGGTTTGACTGCAAAGGGTTTCCAGAATGCCTGGTAAACTAATACTATACGGGAGTGCAGGGTCTGAAATTTGCAGTATCCCGATATCCACAGGATACCAAAAATTTGGTTTTGGATACCAAACTGTGAATGACTTTATCCCGACTGGATACTAAGAAATGGTAGAATGGTTAGATACAGGCTATTGGCTAGTGTATATTTTAGTCTTTGCAATCCCTAAGCTTCAGTATTATGATTGGACTATTTCAGTTGCTCATATATCGAGAAAGTGCCCAAATGGGAGATTTGACTGCCAAAAAACAGAAATTGTGTACAAACAATATTTATACCAAATTCCTTCTATAGGTGGACAATGCCATCGTCTGTTAGTGCCATAATTTATTAAAACACTGTATAAAAGCTGACCTGATCCCAGAACCTAATATACATACAATTAACCCATTCAGCAGAATAGTTTTTAACCCATTCATGGGAGACCTTGAGTAAGTAAAATCATCTGGCATTAGACAGAGTAAAGTAATAAAGTAGAGCACATTGGTGCATAATGCAACTTGACAAAACAAATTAAGAGTGACCTTGTGATTCAATATGTAACCTAGCACAGTAGGCAGACATCTACACAACTTAACCACACATTGAACAAACAAGGATAACTTGTGTTAGCCACTGTCTGGCAAATAGCCTTTGACTCTGGTATTGCGATCCAATGTCGGATGAACAATACATACATATACTTTCTAAGTTAGGCAAGGACATGAGCAAACTATAAAGAGTGTGGCACCCACCCTGTTTCTCGTTCACCTTGACATTCGAGCAACTGGTATTATGTATAATAAATATGTTTCATTTGATAGTTCAAATCACCAAAATTGCATAATTGCATCTTATTCTTATGTTTTAATATATACTCATTTTAATAACTACCCGGCTTGAACCATTGACACGAGGCTTGGTCTGACGAAATTGTCAACAGTGAATGAGTCTGTGGCACTTACATTTTAGCTATCTGGGGCCGGTTGTTCAAAGCTGGGTTAGCTATCTTAGCTTAACCCCAGGTCAAGCTAAAATTCAAAGCAAACTTGCAAACTTCCTGACAGGCTTATTTATAAATTTGGAAATATTTTATCAGGGATCTTGTCTGGATTGGAGTTTTAATATTTCTCTGCAGTTTTGAAATACATAAACAGACGTGCAGAAATACACAAACTAGAACAGCAGGTAAAGGTTAAATTTTAACAGGGTTGGCCCTATAAGTATAAGCTCACCTTTGACTGGCCCCTGATGGACATAGCATAAAACGGTTAAATATTAACACTGGGTTCATTGTGGCCGAATGAAAGCATTCTGTGAGGTTTTTCTAGCTTTCATACAATTTGTTTATATTTATAACTGGCTGACAAATCGTGATGCAAATTTAATAAAACTAAAGCTAATTAGCTAAACGAAAATAAGCAAACATGACAATAGAGCAAACGACAGTATTTAATATAAGTCGGTGCGAGAAGTTCATCAAAATCAATATCTAGAAATTATCTCTGCTGAAATAACTACATCCTCAAATAGTCAACTCTTGATTTGCTCTTGCTACCGTCCACCTAACGCTGATCAAAATTGTCTCAACAATTTTAACCACTATCTAAATGATATTTGCAGCTGCTATGAGAATATCATTCTTGTTGGCGACTTTAATATGCCACATATCTCCTGGAATTCCCCAGAAAATACAACAGGAGCCAATGAAATTTCATTCTTAGAATTAATAAATGACTATTTCTTATCTCAACTTAACAACAAACCAACTAGACGCAACAACGTGCTGGACCTTGTGCTTACCATCTCCTGCTGAAGCAGAAGTTTTCACTGATCACAATATAATTCTCTTTGATGTCCTTATATCTCCAAAATCTCCAGTAAATATGAATAGAACAGTATACGACTACCAACGTGGCAATTTCGATGCTTTAAGATCATCACTCGAATCCAAGAATCTGTCCAACCTAATACCAGCGGAAGGCGATATTGACCACGACTGGCTGATCTGGAAAACTACTTTCCTTACAATAGTTGCTGATCATATCCCAACTAAAAGACTTCGAAGTCGAAAATATGTGCCTTGGCTTAGGGGTGAAATTTTGCACAACATCAAAAAGAAAAATTCCTTAAGACAAAGATTGAAAAAATCTCCCAGTGACTATCTCCGCCACAAGTTTAAAACTCTCAGAGCCACAATCAAGCTTATGATAAAAATCAGCCGATCCAACTACATTTCCTCTCTCTGCACAAACATCCAAACCAATTCCAAACGTTTCTGGTCACTATTTAAACTAAAAGGCGCAACACGTTCTGTCCCGGAAAAAATTTCAATAAAAACAAGTGTCAACAATGTTCGTGAATATGCCGAGAATCCTAGGGACATCGCAACACTTTTCAACCGCTACTTTGTATCAATCTTCTCGAGTGATCCTATCAATATTGTTAATCAACAATCTATATCCGAAACCACTGACATTATTTTTAATGACATTATTTTGTCGGAAGGAACAGTGCGCTTAGTTTTAAGAAATCTTGATAACAACAAAGCGCATGGTCCAGATGAAATCCCAGCAAGATTACTTACCGAAACTGCATACCAAATCGCTCCATCTCTATGCCTTCTGTTTAACAAGTCCTTAAAAAGTGGAATAGTACCTCGAGAATGGAAACTTGCCAATGTTGTACCCATCCACAAAAAGGGGGATAAAGATCATGTAGAAAACTATCGGCCAATTTCTCTTCTCTCACTTGTCTCCAAAGTCTTAGAGCGTTGCGTGTTCATTAGTATCAAAGAACATGCTTTCAGTCAAATAAATTCTTGCCAACATGGCTTCATTTCAGGAAAATCATGCGTGACACAACTAATTAAAGTTTTAGATACCATCGGCAGCCAATTAGATCTCGGAAAGCAGATTGATGTGATCTACCTGGATATGTCAAAAGCATTTGATAAGGTTAGTCACGTACGTCTTCTACATCGTCTCAGAGAATTTGGATTCGGAGGAAATCTCTTAATGTGGTTTAATTCTTACTTGAAAAATCGCCAACAACAAACTACTGTTCTCGGTGCAACATCGACAGCACTACCAGTGACATCCGGAGTACCACAAGGTTCCATTCTTGGCCCACTACTTTTCCTCTTATATACTAATGATCTATCCTCTTCCATCGTGAATTCGAACGTAGCAGCTTTCGCTGATGACACTAAGATTTTTAAAGTGATTAACTCCAGGACCGATGCAATATTATTACAAAATGATCTTCTCAACTTTAATTCCTCCTCATCCAATGCTGGTCTGCATCTTAACACATCAAAATGTAAAACCCTCCAGGTCACCAGGAAACACAACAAAATAGATTTCCCTTATCAACTACAAGATACCATACTAGAAAAGACTGATTGCGAACTCGATTTAGGTGTATGGACGAATTATGATCTCACTTGGTCAAAGCAAGTTACACAACAAAGTAACAAAGCTAATAAAATGCTGGGTTACATTCGAAGATCAACTTTCAATATTTGCGAGTTTGCAATTCGACGAACACTGTACCTTTCTCTGGTTCGCTCACACTTAGGATATGCCACCCAAGTATGGGCGCCCCAAACAGTTGAGTTGGTGAAAAGAGTAGAACGAGTTCAGAGGCGTGCAACTAAATATATTTTAAATGTTTCCTTTATTTGTGATACAGAATATAGAGACCGACTCCTTGCAACCAGTTTGCTCCCTCTCAGCTACTGGCACGAATACCTGGATGTAGTATTCTTCTATAAGGCAAATCACAACATTTTTAATATTGATAAAAAAATTCTTCCATTTCCTCAACCTCAGGGTCAAAGACAGACAAGATCATTTAATCCCAACTCGCACAAATATAAAATTCCGACATACAAGACGTCAACCTATGAAAAATCTTACAAAATCGGAACATCAAGAATATGGAACACACTACCCAATTATATTACATCCAAAGACCTAACATTTTCAGAATTTAAGAATCTTCTTTTTAAGTACTATATTTTAGCATCAGAAAATACATACGATGTTGAGGATCCCCGGACATGGAAAAGTGTGTGTATAAAATGTAATTCCGCTCGAAGTTTAATGAACTCTCCATTGACATGCTGCTTTTAGACAAATGTAATGACTGTTGTTCAAGTATTGTCTGTTGTGTGTGTTTAGTATACCTTGTAAATTGTTTCTGTATAACTATTGGGGCCGCTGTAATTGGCAATAGCTGTTGTGGTTTCCCAGCCAATGAATGTATAAGTATGATGGCAAAGTAAATAAATAAATAAATATAACAGCAAAACGTATTTATAGCACACCATACCTTCACTATAGCGTTGTCGTTGTAAAGTCCTGTTCAGCGCTAATGTCCGTACTTTAATGCTACAATTCTTCGAAAGCCAGGTTCCCTCTTTATATCGTAAAATAATATTCAACGTCTAACGGCGTGTCACTTTTCACACGGCAAATTCTTTCCAAAACATTAGTCTTCGATAACTCCTCCTTGGCACCTTGCACTCAGAATAAGTTACATTGTCGAATGTTTACTTAATCTGTAAGCGTGTGCTATAAAATTATACTAAACTTTGTCAATACGTTTTACTCCGCATATAAAAACTGTTCATGTATAATGATAATGCATGGTCTGCTTCTACCGTTTCAGCCGCCATGACAGAGTTCTCAAATTACCAACGGCGAATGTGCGAAGTGTCATTCAAATAAAAGTTAATTTAGCATTAACCGACAGACGAGCCAATGAGCGACGATATACCAAATACACGCAATGTTCTGATTGGCACACAATCAATTTGCAAGCTTGTGCCAGTATTGCGCGTGGGTTTCCTCTGAAGTCTAAAGTCTAAACAATCTGGCCATTCTCACTGAGCGCACATACTGTATTTGCTCTTTAGATTATGAATTATATTCGTTATTGCTGATTCCTCATTCCGCTCGGCAAATGGTTTATAACTTATATTCAGAGCGACAAACTGTTCCAAATGATAACACCAGAAGTCGTGCACCTGCATTAGAGTGTTGCCGTATCATATACTATGTGAACAACATAAATTCGCAACGTTCAAATACCGAAGCGGAGAGTAAGTTTTCAATTATATAGCAGCTTCTAGAACCTTGTAACAAGCTTTCGTTGGTAGGATGCAACTATCTGAAAATATATAAAGCTAAAGGAGAAGGTCGACGTATTGAGCGAAGGCAGCTCGAAACGTCGAAATTCCCTTTATATTTTCAGGTAATGGCATCCCTAGGTCGAACGAAAGCTTGTTATTGTTTAATTGTTGGCACCACCTGGTTATATTAAGTGAATTGGCTACATGATATAATAATCTACTATATTTATGTATAGCAATTATTTACAGGCTGCGTATGTAATACTGTGTCTTCTTGCGCAGAGTTATGACGATATTTTATACTATAGGCTAGCCTAGGAACTGATGTTTGTGCGTTCGAATGCGATCTGCAAATCAGCGCAAATTGAATAACTCGTTAATAAAATATATTTAAATTTTTTACTCATTAATAAAATATATTTAATTTTTTTCACTATTATCTCACAGTTATAGGAAATTGATAAATGATCAAACCGTGTCTTGCTTTTATAAACTTTATAAACATACATGTAATAAACTCTGACTGTAATATTATATTCCAGCTAGTGTCTGATCATACATTTATAAACCGCATTTAAGGTCCAGTTACACGTGCGATTTTTTTCTCGCGCCGGCAACGCAACGGGTTAAATTTCATTGCGTTACTCGCGCGAGTCGTGAAATTGCCCGTGTAACATATCTGGCGCGGTAACGCAATTGCAACCCGATATTCTTGGCAATCGTTGCGGAAAGTTGAAATGCTTGAACTTTCGGCAACGATTGCCGAAAATATCGAATTACCCAGGCATTGTTTGAGCAGGAAACGCATGGGCTATTTTAAGATAGCCAATGAAATTCGTTTCTGTACGGATAGCGTGCTGTAGCGCTGCCAAATATCGAAGCGTTAAACAACACATTTCTGCTGGCTTGATTGATTCACGCATTATTGTGTCTTTCTTGTAATAAAAGCTTTTCAGATAGATTATCAACTATCGTTTTGAAATGATCAAAATCCATTCGCAAAAATTTTTCAAATGCTGGTGTGTCGTGGGCAGCTAGATCGGGAAGAAGGTGACCGAAATAACCTTTGTTTTTTCTCTCTAGAAGCCAGTGCCGGCTCCAAATACGTTTCTTTTCTTTAACCACCTCGTCATCTTCTTGTCAGTGAAATTTGCGAATTGCGAAACACTAATACCCGGTTTTTTCATGCAAATAGTTGCGACGCGGCTAAGCTATCATTGCTCGTGTCACCACTTCACTCGCGCGAGTAACGCAATGAAATTTAACCCGTTGCAAAGGCGTTGCGTTGCCGGCGCGAGAAAAAAATCGCACGTGTAACTGAACCTTTATAGGGCCAAGGGCAAGGCCCAAGTTCAGAACGTTTCATCCCTGCTGACCAAAAATTTGAAAGATAGCACTCCGACACTATAGCAATACTGACGCCAATAGCCTATCGAGCATCCTACACGAACAACCTATATAATTAATAGCTCGGCTCTGCTATCTATGAAACTTGACGATAAGTATAAGTAATACCTCGTGATATAAAGTTATGATTATGAACAAAACTCCTATTTCACCTTTAATATTATAGTAATGTATTTTCCCACAAAATATTGGATAATTTACCAATCATGAACGTCGATCTTTAGAATGTTAGTCTACAAGTTTGCTAATTTCACATAAAATGCGCGAATTATATTGTGCATGACATTACAATTAAATTTCTGGGCATTATTATTGAAAATTATAATCATATATTCATAAAAAAAGTTCATACTTTTTGCATGAAATGCAGTAGAAATAGACCTTTGACGGCTTTGTCGATCTAAATGGTTGGTTTAAAATTTCTTGTATAAGAGGAATCGAATATTTGAAAATATCGTAACACAATTTTTGGCAAGCTTTTTCCAAAATTTTCAACATTCATTGCAAATTCTTCATCAAATCTCGTATAAGATTTTATCAAAATAGAATATGCAACCCTATTGTAGAACCGCTAGAACGTGTTTAATTCTTCGCCGTATACATCCCGCTTATGAGTTATGTTCATTGACATTGCCATTTATTTCAGAGTTTCCGCTTATATAAATATTCCGCTTATAGTTCATTGTGACAGTCATTGATTTCAGATTTTCAGGGTTCAGAAATTCTGAACCCCTTTTAGCTTTCTTCATCGTAAATATTCCACTTATGTTCATTAATTTCAGATTTTCAGGGTTCAGAAATTCTGAACCCCTTTTAGTTTTCTTAGCCGTAAATATTCCGCTTATGTTCATTGATTTTAGATTTTCGGGGTTCAGAATTTCTGAACCCCTTTTAGCTTTCTCTGCACCGTAAATATTCCGCTTATGTTCATTGATTTCAGATTTTCAGGGTTCAGAAATTCTGAACCCCTTTTAGTTTTCTTAACCGTAATTAAATATTCCGCTCAGTTATATTACTGTCGTTCCAATTGAAGTGTTGCTCAAATATTGATTCAATACATTACCTCGGGCTGACCAATTCATTTGATCAAGTTCCTCGAGATATTCATACACTTCCTGTGAAAGAGCCAATTCCAAGTATTTGATCATTTCTGGTCACTTCCTTTCTATTTATGATTGGTTAGTTGCACAAACAATAAAGGTGATTGGTGCATTCAAACTATTCAACAAGAAGTTTACAATTATACTAGGAAGTGTATGAATATCTCGAGGAACTTGATGAAATGAATTGGTCAGCCCGAGGTAATGTATTGAATCAATATTTGAGCAACACTTCAATTGGAACGACAGTAATTGATTTCAGATTTTCAGGGTTCAGAAATTCTGAACCACTTTTAGCTTTCTTCACCGTAAATATTCCGCTTATGTTCATTGATTTTAGATTTTCGGGGTTCAGAATTTCTGAACCCCTTTTAGCTTTCTCTGCACCGTAAATATTCCGCTTGTGTTCATTGATTTCAGATTTTCAGGGTTCAGAAATTCTGAACCCCTTTTAGTTTTCTTAGCCGTAATTAAATATTCCGCTCAGTTATGTTAATTGTTTCAGATTTTCAGGGTTCAGAAATTCTGAACCCCTTTTAGTTTTCTTAGCCGTAATTAAATATTCCGCTAGTTATATTAATTGATTTCAGATTTTCAGGGTTCAGAAATTCTGAACCACTTTTAGCTTTCTTCACCGTAAATATTCCACTTATGTTCATTGATTTCAGATTTTCAGGGTTCAGAAATTCTGGACCCTTTTATATAGCTTCCAATGATCAATATTATGTTGTCTTTTATTAATTTAGAGAATCTTATACTTAAAACCTTGTTTTTTATCACGTATTTGCGGAAGAAATAGTCGAATACAAAGATTCCGTATAATCCGACAACCAAACCGATATTTGCGCCGTGGAGTCAACATTTTCTGGTTAATTTCCTGTTTTCTGCGGATATTTGTAATCGGACGCAAAATTTACTTTAAAATATGGAATATGCGTTAACAAATGCAAATTTTTTCGCTTTTAATATTTTTAACCAGTTTTTGCGAATGTAGTATTGAAAGAAAATCCGCATGGCTTGATTTTTACGTCAATTTTTTGCGCAAGCTTTTTTATTTTTGCACATATTTTGGGAAAGCATCAAGATTTTGCGGAAAAAAAGAAAAATTCCGCATAATTTAAAACAAATACGCGAAATTGCGTACTTTGGAAAATCCCAATTTAGTTTGGAACGCGTTTCTAGTCTAGCGTATTGTAAAATAAACACTTACTAACATGTTAATGACATATTTGAAGAACTAACCCACCAATAAATTGTACCAGAACTAGTCCACTAAACTAATAAATTGTAACATTATAACATTTTACAAACAATGTGTCGACGACACACTAATTTTAGCCAAACCATCTGACATAAATTACATTAAATTAGATACTCGCAATTTCATGCTAATATCCAATTTACTGTTGACGATTTTCCTGATAATGACATACATTACTTGGACATTCAAATTCATCCAACTGGTACCACAGTTTATCCTAAAACGAATCACACTGGCCAACACCGATAGACATTCCGAGCATAACATCATGCCCATGGTCCAGAAAAGTGGCATGGATATAGTACTTCCACATTTCTATACTTTTAGGGCCTATATACACCTGTGATATGTAGTGGATTTCATTAATTTCTGATGATGACTAAAATCTATAGTCGCAACGACGAATAAACACTTTTCAAAATGTTTACCGTTTTTACTATTGTGTTGTTTTTATTAAAATACTCGGTGGTTCCCGCAATAGTTTTCGAAGACAAATTAAAATATCGGCAAAAAATCAAGTGACTTTTGATATTCCACTTTTTTTTCTAGGTTTCTTTTTCTTCAGAAAACAAAAATTCCACCTAATGTAAAGATATATGCAGATGACTAATTTTTCACTCAAGATTGCATGTTTGCTTAATAATGAATATAACTAAATACGTTTTTAAAATTATTTTGCCCAACCGTTTGTCAAAAATCTATTTTATTAACTTATGTTCAAGCTGCAGGCGGATTATGTGGTGGTTGCTATTGAAACGCTGAACACAAGGTTGTAATATTTCGTGTCAATTACTCACCAGTACTGTAGTGCTGGAAAGTGAATCCACCAGGAAAAGCATATGAATTTTCGCCATTCCAGCCATACACCAGCAATCCAAAGTTAACATCAGATGAAGAATGGTAGAAAGTAGCATTTTTCGTTCCAGTCATACCAACCACTGTCCAAACGTATTTTGTCCCCGGAATTGCAATCCAATTTAGATAACCCATATTAACTTCATTTAGAAACAAACCGTTAGTATAACCTTCCTCAATCGTAATTGTCACAGAACTATAAAAACCTGAAGTACGACTACAAAGTACACTATAGTATGACTTAAACTGTTTAATCGAAGGAAGGACAATCATCGAAGTGTCCGCATTTTTCGAGCCAATTGTTTCCCCCCTTATGTATTGTACCACTTGACAAGGTTTATTGCAGTTCACAAACGATGTGAGATTTTCGCCTAATATCAATTCTGTATAAGTGCCGGATAACAAAACTTTGGTCCAGTATGCACTGTGGACAACCGTATTATTTTCGAAGGCAAAAATTCGGAAAATATCTCCTTGTTTTTTATTCGTTGATCTGATCGTCGTTAAGATGTACTGTTTTCCCCAGTGTGTGACAGGTAAAAGAAATGATTCTAATCTGTCATAACTTCCAGTGCCGCCAGGAATCCCCAAATCCACCCCACAGACGACAGATACTGGTTTAGAAGCGAATATCATTGTCCCCGATAAATCCGATTTACTCGTTACTTGTATGGACTGCAGTGTACCCAAAAAAACATGGATGGGGCCGGCGTGAGTATACGCGGTTCCACCAATTTCAATAACGGCATTCTTAATTGGTTGAATTAAAATAGTTGTTTCGTCATGTATTGACACAATACCAATTTTAGCTCTAGCATAGCTATCGTATGGTGTGTATGATGCAACAACATATGTTACACCTAGTACGTCAGTTGGTAGTGCTAGGTATCCATCACCACCTGTATAATAATTGAAACACGCGACAGAAATATTCATTGTTGACGAAACCTGAATGCCATTATTCTGGATTCCTTGCATTCGCAGGGAACGCGGCAGAGCATACTCCAAAAAATCTCCTTTTTTCATACGGATGGCGACGTTCAACGGATCACTCGAAGTTGATTGTGTGAAAATTGTGACATTTGTATCGAAGTGAGCTGCGATTGCTATTCCAACGTAACCATAGGTACGCGAGTAATATTGGGAAGTAAATCCAAAAACAAACTTCTTTCCACAGTTTGTCGGTTTATCTAAAAATATTAATCCTGTTGAATGAGGTTATTACAAAATTATAGATGTACGGAATTCTGTAATATTATATCGCATAGTAATTTTCTGATAACTGTACTATTTTGTGGTAATATATATAATCTAGTGCTTTAAGTAAATAAATTACGCGAGACTGGATCGAATAACGAACCAAAGCTTGGTATTTCGAAATTTATTTATAAATTTTACAATCAACAAAACGATTGAAGGTACAAACAACAGGACTGAGGAGTCCCAAATTAAGTCCTACCTACATATTACATTGACATTGTAAAACAATAGAGACAGGGTTACAAACTTTAACAAAGCTACAACCATCCTTACACTGACTTTCCAAAGTTACTAGAAAATACATGCATGCAAAAACCCTCGCCTTGCTGACAAAACAATTGTATTTTCCGAACATGTATCAAGTATCAAGTAGTTGTCATGGTAACACGACAATTTTTTAAGAATATTCTTACAAATTAAAAATTGCCTAAATATATCACTTTTAATTACAAAATTATCAATTTCCCAAACATATTTTTGTAAGGTAGGCCTATGTTATTATACGTAATATAGGCTTCAATTTAAGGTAAAATTCAAGCACAAACGCTTCGCAAAACGTTTTAAAGTGTTCTTAATAAAACCATGGATTGTAAAATAACTGGATAGGAAACTAGCTGACGTCACAGTCTAAGCCTAGTTGCAATCTGTGACGTCACATGTATTGCCAAAGTTCTTAGCATTTTTGTTGTTTCGCTATATTTTCCGCTTTGAAAGAGTAATATTGAAGCATAAACTGGTCTAATTGTTTTAAAAAAATGCCTAAGCCACGACAAAGTATTCAAGGTAAATGTTTTTCGTCTTTGTTTTGTATTTTTTAACATTTGTAGCTACGAAATTGGCGTCGCCAATTTTTACGAAATTTGCGATGCATTTTTCACTGTTTAGTGCTTGATATATTTGCTAAAATTGACGGGGAATACTTAGAGAATGGCTTAGTTATATTTATTTGCTCTTTGACTAAAATGTTTAGCTGTATTATCGCTAAACATGCCGTTTTTGAGAATTTGGTTTGCAACTAGGTTTCAACACCATCATCCCATTGAAAACATTAGGTCACGTCAGCTAATTTCCTATCCATGTATTTTATTATCCATGATAAAACTAAACTGCCTTTAATTAAATGGATTTAGGGACCGGTCATAAAGTAACTGCTAGGGTGGGCCGGAGTGATTTGGGATGGGCCATGGAAAATCTTTGGGCAGTTTCAATGGGCCGCCAATTATTTTGTATGTCCACGGTTGGGCCACCAAAGAAAAACCCATATCTAACTTCATCACTTATTATGATAAATATAATAGCAAATAAGGTTTTAAAGTCAAACATAATACAAATCTAATAGGGCTGTACACTGCATGGAGGGCAGCAGGGCAACTGCCCCCCCCCGCCGAGAAAATTTAACCAATTTTATAATGTGATTATGCTTGTAATGGATAATTATACAGTCAGGGAATAAAAATTTCATGCAAACAATACTCGAAGTGTCTACACAGCCAGGTATTTAGTAAACTGTCACTTATCAATCCATACTCATCGAATTTTCAAAACTTTAATAATATATATTGTAATCATATGAAGCAAAAGTTCTGTCACTTGTTGTTTACACTTGCCAATGTTAACTGTTGAGTAACATACACAAACTAATCGAGGAACATGCATTACTGTAGCAAAGAGTCAATCATATATCGAAGACCACTGAATATAGTAGAGAATGTTTTGAAGGTCATGAGTGAAGTATATAATTAATTCCAACACTGTGCACAGTTAATGATATACCACACCGTTCGGTTTAACTCGGCATATCCACACAAAAACAAGTTTAGTTTTGTACATTGTATGCCAATGATCTGATCCATCCATATAATATATGATTATTGTAGCTGTTAAGTTATTTTCCATACTAATGAATTTAGGTAAAATTGTCTTGCAAGTGGGTTGTTCTGACAAAATTATCCAGCCAATATCCAGTAGGCTACATTTATTCATCAATAATAATCTCTAAACAAAAACATTTATATTAGAAAGCAAAATGACCATGTAATGAGGAGGGAGGGTGGGGACTGGGGATTCTTTTATTAGCATTTGAAAATGGTTGTAACAATTTTGTTTAAATTAATTAACTCTAATGTGTAATATCAAAATGTATAAGTATAATTTTAACTGATGACATCTTTACTTTTGCTCTAACACTAGTTACACTACATTTGATGACAACTTAGTTGGACTGTTGTTTTGAACAGAGTTACAGAAATACAGGACCAGGATTTAATTCAATATCTCCTGAGAACATTAGTTTCTTGTGATATTGTTAATCGGCAATATAATGCCTGCAGTCAGAGTTTTGACTGTTTACATGTAAAATATTACACAATGATTGTTTTTATACTGTATAAATGTATATAATAAAATATGTGGTATTTGACTACTTACCAGATGAGGATAAGTTTCCATGTTGATAGATAACTTCGGAATAAAATCACAAGTAGAATGGTGAAAACAAGACAGCCAATTCAAGATAAAACAAGATATTTTTGAAGCCAAAATATGGCAAAGAATAAAGGAGGATTTCCAGTCCTCGGACAAAGCTCCTCGCAGCTCGCTGCGAGTGATGCATGAGCACTTTCATCCAATCACAATGCTAAACAGTTCATTTTAATTAGATGCAAGCACTCGCAGCGAGCTGCGAGGAGCTTCGTGCGAGGACTGGAAATCCGCCTTAACACGACTTCACTTACACGAGGCCAAACTGCGCCCGTTTGCAGGTTAGGTGCGAGCACGATGTAAACAATTGTAAACAATAGTGGCTGTAAACAATAGTGGTGTTATTGACTTGGGAATGTCAGATCACAGTTTAATTTTTGCAGTGAAAAAAGTGACCATGCCTAAATATAGGCAAACCCGTTCCAAAGTTAGAAATTTCAAAAGATTTAATGAAACTGATTTTATTGAGGAACTGTCCAGAATACCTTGGTATTTAGCTACACAGTATATGAACCCGAACGACAATTGGCATGTCTGGAAATCTTTTTATTTGGAAGCTCTTGACAGACATGCACCCTTAATTTATAAGAGCATTAAGCACAATTCTGTTCCCTGGATAAATTCCAACATTAAAAAACTAATAAGATCCAGAGACTATCATAAAAAGAGAGCAAAGAGATATAATTCCCAGGTTCACTGGGATAAATATAAATCGGAGAGAAATAAAGTTAACTCGGAAATGAAAAGGGCCAAAATTGTTTATATTATCAAACAAGAATTAAGGCGGAATTTTCCCTAGCTAAAGACATGAAAAAAACATGGTCACTGATAAACACCCTATTGGGCAAAGGAGGGAAATCATCTAACATTGCAGAAATTAATATTAATGGAATAATATATAATGATCGCAAACAAATAGCTGAACACTTAAACGACTATTTTGTTAATATTGGCCCAACACTCGCTGCTGAATGTGAACGTCTTTCGGATTATGAAGACATGCATTGTAATTCAACTGGTGTAAATTCAAAATTCTATTTCCATACAATTACTGAATCCAATATTGTAAAAAACCTGAAAAATCTAAAAGTATCCAAGGCTACCGGGGCTGATGGAATACCAGCCAAAATGCTGAAATTATCTTGCGATATTATTGCCCCATCCTTGACCAAAATATTTAATCTCTCAATTTCTACTGTGATATATGTTGATGATTGGAAAAGAGCCAGGGTAATACCTGTTTATAAAACAGAAGATAGAACGAAATGTGAAAACTATCGCCCGATATCTATTCTTCCCATTATCAGCAAATTATTTGAGAAAGAAGTATTTGGACAGCTCTATCAATATCTGATAGACAATTCTCTACTTTCACGTTTTTAATCGGGCTTCCGGCCCAAACATTCGACACTGTCCTTATTAATAGAAATGAGTGACAATTGGTTTGAAAATATGGATAATGGAGAAATAACCGGATTAATTTCAGTTGATATTAGGAAAGCCTTTGACTCTATTGATCATAAAATCCTATTAAGGAAGATGCACGACCAGTTTGGTGTTCAAGATTTTGAGCTAAAATGGTTCCAATCCTATTTGACGAAACGAAGCCAAGTTTGTGTTGTCGATGGCCACACATCGTTGGCTAAGGAAATTGTATGCAGAGTTCCACAGGGATCTATCTTGGGACCCCTCATGTTTTTACTATATATAAATGATTTGCCAGAATGTCTGAAAAACACAACTCCTGGCATGTATGCTGACGATACTCAAATATATGCATCTTCCGCAAGTTTCTCCGAACTAGTAACCAAACTTAATCAGGATTTAGAAAATATAGTCAAATGGCTCTCTCGAAATAAATTGCAACTTCACACAAAAAAGACAAAAGCAATGTTTATAGGATCACCTTATAACTTAAAAAACAAAGTTGGTAATGAACAGGTTATGATAAATGATAAACCGGTTACTCGATATTCCTCTTTTCCATGTCTGGGAGTAGAACTAGATGAAAGAATGAGCTGGGAAAATCATATAGACACAATATGTAGGAAAGTTGGCTCCGGTATTGGAATCATCAAAAGAGTAAAGCCGTTTGTACCGTCCGAAACACTACAAAATTTATATAATTCTCTCGTTCTCCCATATTTTGACTATTGTTCATCTTTATGGGATAATTGTGGAAGCATGCTCAGAGAAAAATTACAAAAACTACAAAATAGGGCGGCAAGAATTATGACAGGTGCCAATTATGATGTCAGGTCGACAGATTTGCTCCATGCTATGTCATGGAAAAATCTGCACGACAGACATAAAATGAATAAATCGGTCTTGATGTTCACAATATTAAACAACCACTCAGCTCCGAACTTAAAGGATAAATTTATAACAAGGGACATAAATCTTAGTGCTAATTATAATCTCAGAAATGCTGATATAAATCTTTCAGTTCCTAAA